GTGTGGCTGCTAGTATTTTCATGTTGATGTTACAGATGATGAATCTGAGATGTGAGAAGGTTAGGCAATTTGCTTACAATCACATACTATTAAGAAATACCCTATATTCTGCCTATCAGATCCTTCTTTGAGGGCTTTTTTAATAACTCATCCCTTGCAAAGTGGGGTCATGTCCCGGAATCCCATGGGCTGGTTCCTGCCAGATTTTCAACTTGCCTAGGCTGCATCTCTCTTCAAGATCTCCTGCTACCTGCACTGACTGCCTCATAAAACAAAAACCCCCAAATGAATGTGGTTAACGCAATTGTGCTCGGAGGCAAATACATGTTTATGTCAATTTAAACAATGGAAACTCCACCCCTCTATTCTTGCTGACCATTTTCAAATGGGGATGTGATTCCTCTTTATTATCTCCCTCTGCACCAGTTATTTATTTATTTTGAATAATAAAAGAGTACTATGGGAAAACCACAAAATGATACTGAAGAGAATTCCTATCAGATTCCAGAGTTAGGGGGAGGGATTTCATAAACAAAAGGACGATGTCAAAAAAATCTCAAGTTCTCCTGCCCATCTGTTATTTCAGCTGCTGTTAGGGCAGGGGCTGTTTGGATAAGGCCAATAAGATAACAGGTGCAGGGGCAATGGGCAGAGAATGTCTTCTGGTTCTCAACGCAACAATGAGTCGGAGTTTATGAGCATGGAAGGACTCTGGTAAGGAACACGACCTTCCTGAGACCGTTGCATGTATTACCCCCAAAAGGAGTTTGTTAAAGCAGCACTGGAGCTACTAAGGAGTTAGTCTTCTGTCAATGAAAATAAAGCAGGTAAATACGCAAAAAATCTTGAATTAGTGAATGAAGGATGGTTGCCTTGTTAACCTCTGGGATGCTAATTTGTTGGTAGAATTATAGACCTTACAATTTCTTTTAGTTTATTGATTATTTTATCTACCTCTAGACTAATGTGTGTACACATTTTTTTTGTGTGTGTGATACTTCTAAAATCAGAGTGGGGTGGGAGAGAGAGTGATATTCCCAAGGGATACATGCAGGTATAAGATAAATGTGACACACATTCTGTGTACATTATTATACATTCATTTCCCCCCAAAATGTGCAAAAGCGTCAGCGTGGCAAAAGTACTTTCTCTACCTTGTGTATAGAGTGTGTCACCAATGATTTGTGACTGATAATATATATATTTTTTGAGACAGAGTTTCACTGTGTTACCCCCAGGAGAGTCATGTAGCATCACAGCTCACAGCAAGCTCCACTCTGGGGCTTAAGCAATTCTCTTGCCTCAGCCTCCCAAGTAGCTGGGACTACAGGTGCCTGCCACAATGTCTGGCTATTTTCTTGTTGCAGTTGTCATTGTTGTTTAGTTGGCCCAGGCGGGCTCAAACCCACCAGCCTCAGTGCATGCGGCTGGTACCGTAACCAGTGCTGTAACCACTGTGCTATGGGCGCTGAGCCGACTGATAACATTTAAAGTAGTTGGCTAATATTTGTGAATATTTTCCTCCTGCCCCCACCTTGGCCTCCCTCTTCCCCTCTTTCCCTTCCTCCTCAATAAACACCAACACAGAGGCAAGCAAACATGTTTCTGTCCTGGCCTCACCATTACAAGCCAGGAAGTCAGGAGCAGGTGTTTGACCTCTCTGAGCTTCTGGTCAATCAGTCATACACCTGTCCTCACAGCATTCTCCTTCTAGAGGCCCAAAGTGAAAGCCTACATGAAGCACATTCATATGCGTGTGGCTAGCCTGAGATAAACTGTTCATCCCATTACTAGTGATGGCTAATCATCTGCCTCCTCAGTCACTGAAATTATGCCATGGTCTTTTCTGACAGATAACTGCATGTAACCTTGGTTAGGAAAATCCATGAAGATGGGCCCACCACCTATCATGTGTGCTGTGTCTTGATGGAAAGTCACATTTCTACTACAGTATTTGGCTGGAATACCTCAGTGCCTGGCAGCTTACTCTCTTTCCAGGTGACCCATTCCAACTTCTGAAAATTCTGGATCCCAGAAGCTTTGTCTTTGCCTTGGGGCAAAATCTGCCTTCCAAACACTTCTTTCACCTACCATCCTTCTTCTTACCCACCAGCACCACAAGCTGGTAGCACAAATTTAATAACCCTCCTTCTTCCAACTATGTGCACATGGCTCGTGTATCATCTCATAGGGGCCTGGAGGCCAATCTTTGGAACAGGAGCTGTTAGCTTCTAAGTTTTCAGGTAGGAAAATAGAAGGCAATGTCATTCACTTGGTTAAAAGGTGGGGAAGAGAGAAGGGGTACAACTGCTACTAAAACAATTTTGTTTTTCTACTGAAAACTTTCTGTAATAATACTGCATTTTCTCCAAGTTATAGTCAAAAGCAATGCCCAACAAGAGCTCTTTGTTCAAGAAACTAGATAGAACAGCTTTTTTTTTTTTTTTTTAAGAAGGACAAGCTAGTGACCTCTGCAGGCTTTGCTAGAGGTTAGAACCTATTTCATAGTTGGTCTAAAAGTAGGACATTTTTGTCAAGCTGTCCCTTTCAGCTGCTCCTAAAGCCATCTGGAAAGCCTTACTACCCCTCGAAGTCCTTTTCCTCCATCGCTCCTACATCCAGGTGGACCCTAAGTCCTCTCAGTTCCCCCAACCCAAAAGCTTCCACGTCACCCTCTGCATCTCTGCTGCCTTCCACCCGCATCTCCAATGTGCCAGTTGAAACAGCCTCTGTCCTACCCTCCTACTGCTAACATCCTCCTTTTCCTGTCCAGAACATTCTTAGATCCAAAGTCTCTCCCCACTCAGAATCTTCTCATGTAGTGCGGTGATGGAAGCTGGAGACCAAGTCGAATCTTCCCACCTCCTTTTTGTTTGGAACGAAAACTTTAGCACTTCATATGATTATTCATATGATTGATTATTTTGGCCACTTCTGGTTTCTTTCAAGGAACTTTGAATATAATTTTAAGTTTAAAAAAAAAACTTTAACCATCATTAATATTTAACATCAATTCTTTAAATTGCATCTCAGACCAACTTCCTTCCTTCCATCCTTCTTTCCTTCCTCCCTCCTTCCCTCCCTCCCTCCTTCCCTCCCTCCCTCCTTCCCTCCTTCCCTCCTTCCCTCCTTCCCTCCTCCTTCCTTCCTTCCTTCCTTCCTTCCTTCCTCCCTTCCT